AATGGATTGACATATAAAAGACAAAACTTAAGACAAGACTTAAGTAAGAGTAAAAAGTACTGGAGGCAAAACGTACTTAAGTAAAAAGTACAAAGTATCCTTAAAAAATACTTGAAGTAAAAAGTAAAATTACTATTGTCTGTAGCGTGGGGGGGGGGGGGGATTTCTCCAATGGATTGACATATAAAAGACAAAACAGCACACGCACATTATATGCGCGCACCTATAATATACAATATTTCACGGTATGGTCTACTTTCCAGACCCCTTTGAAGATATAACAAATCCATTAAATAAATACTGCTAAAAAGTAAGCCACAAACGAGAGATCCCAGACGCATGTAGAGGTCCTATTACATATGCCAAAATTAAAATAAATCCTGAATAAATCACGTAAAATTAAACAAAAGTTAGAAAGTAACGAAATACTTCGCCACAAAATGAAAATAACGAAGTAAAACGTTACTTCTTAATTAAAACGACTTCGTTCCAAGTAAAAGTACTCCAGAAAAAGTTTACTTTGTTACATGCTGACTTCTCAAAAATAATGTTCAAGTACAGTAACGAAGTACATTTACTTCGTTACTTGACACCACTGCTCTGAGTGTATATCCACACCGGGCAAGCTTGAAAAATATACCTGGCCACGGTGGGAATCGAACCTACGACCTTTGGAATATTAGCCCAATGCTCTGCCAACTGAGCTACGCGGTCAGGTCGGCGGTTCGAGTATGTGGATATATACACTCAGAGTAACATCACAAACATATTCACCCGAGTACATAACACCAACACAGAAAATCATGATTACTAGATTGCATTGATATCGTAGGAACTAGACTCAGTTCCGAAATATCACATCTCGAACCAACCTGACGGCGTAGCTCAGTTGGCAGAGTATTGGGCTAGTATTCCAAAGGTCGTATATAGGTTCGATTCCCACCGTGGCCAGGCATATTTTTCAAGCTTGCATGCCCGGTGTGGATATACACTCAGAGTAACATCACAAACATATTCACCCGAGTACATAACAAGAACACAAATAAAAATGTTGTTAAATAATAAATGTTAAAAACATTAAGTTTGCTGATCTTGAATTATGCTTAATTGATTTTCCTAGTTAGTTTTTTCAATTAGAAGGGCTGAAATGCGCCTTAAAAACCATCATTCAAAAAGCTGAACTGTATCTTTAAGTGTACAAAAAATTGTCCGCTTAGGTCTGTTCTAGGAAGCTCACCAGAGTGGGATGAATTATTGAAAGCTCATCTGACTTTTTTAATTTAGGGTTTTCAAGCAAACACCGATCGAGATTCCATCGTTACACACTTATTTAAACCTCGTATTCGTGCTCGGTACATTCGTGTGTTGCCAATATCTTGGAACATTCATCCTGCAATGAGGCTCGAGTTTTACGGTTGTCGCCACTAGTTTGCATGTCATTAATATATGCGTGCATGCATGCATTATTATGTTACAGATCTGTGTTTACCAGTAGGCTAATAATTGAGGAATACCGAATGGTTTTCCGTGCAGGATTGCGTGATCCATGCACGCGGGATGTTGCGAGACTTTCGGAAAGCGTGAAAATACACGAGCCGTAGGCGAGATTTTTACGCTTTCCGAAAGTCGACCAACATCCCAAGTGCATGGATCATGCTATCCTGCACGGGAAAACCATTTGGTAATTGTTTAATAAAATTACTACAGTGAAACGACGGTTAACTTGATTAAAATTATGGACCTTTCCCCTTATAACTAAAATTTTGATCTAGACAACTCTAGACAAAAATTTCACCACAGCTTGAAAGAGCATCACAAAATTAGTAATATTCCAAAGTTTCGTTGCGAAATGTT